TGCAAACCAGTCAGAATATAAACCATCCCACATCAACTCTATACCAGCTAAAAACCCCATTATGAAAATACCTTTTTCTGTCAGGTTTTCCTGCTCTCCCCCATACATGCCAAACCACTTACATCCCTTCTCACAAGCTTTTCTTTCCCAGTCTTTAAAGTAGAATTACCTGCTTTCTCCTCTCTTGACAATGCCACTGGTGCTCCAAGTCTCTTGTGTCCAAACATTATACACCTGACACTAATCTGAAGTGGATTTGCAAAGCTGAAGCAGAATTCTTCTGTTTTCTGTATTAATTCTTGCAAGTAGATCATATGGATTGAAAAGACTACCACTTGCTAAAGGTCTCATATTACTATTTTCTCCCCTATGAGTCCTTGCCCAAACTTAATACCTATGTGTATATCTGGGTTTAATAAACAATCCCACTAAATGCACCCTGCTAGCTGCTACACAGATCCTCTGCCTCCTCAGGGTTCATTTGGCACCAAATTAGTCAGTGCCTAGGTCCCACCATCAGTATAACACAGGCCTTCTTACAGCTGCATTGCAAACCTCTCTTCTAGGACTTTCCCTCATGTACCCTCTCAGGCACCACAAGTACCACAGCTTGGTCCTAGAGGCCTTAGATCACCTCCAAAGGCAGCAGCAACTTTGTCTCAGCACTTGGCAACTCCCAAGCTTCTCACTGCTCCCCTAGCCCAGTTTTCTTTGCTAAGAGGTCAATGCCAGAAGTGCTTACAGGGCCCCCATGCAGGTTACTGTGGATGGCTCTTCCCAAAAGGGTCTTGCCCTTGGGCTTGGACTCCTTGGGAGTCCGGACTCCTGTAGGCAGGCAAACTCTCACCAACTAGGGCAAAAAGTGTGTCTCACTTGTTTCATGACTCCTGTCGGGTATAAACCATACACTGCCACACGTGGCTCACAAATGCTACCGCGTTTGTAAATAAATTACATGTCTGTAGGGCCCTGGTATGTGGTTCACAGTTGATACGCAGTTGATATCCATTAGAGAGTAAAACACTTCATATTTTCAGTTAAGCACTTGATAATAAGGTTACACACGAAGCTACAACAAATGCTGAGGGACCCACTGTCCTGTGCCGGGCAGACCACTTTGAGAAGAGCCTTAATGGTTGAGTTAAATGACTTTTCTCCCCTCCATGATGAGAAAACCAAGTGCTGAATATCCCTATGCATTAAACACTAGAGCATCTCGCAGTGCAGATACATTTTGTGCAACTTATCCCCAGGATTCTAAAAACAGGGATAATAGAGAAGGGCTGGGTAATGCCACTGGGCAACCAATTGCATTTCCTTCTAAAGGATACAGCGCAATCCAGATGACCTTTAAATGCATGGGCTTAAGGGGAACAGTTTCATAAATGAGTACAGCAAACATCAAAGAGAACTGAATTAGACAGACAGACCGCACAGACCCAAGTGAACTTGAACATTGCTGTCACAGCACTATTTATAATTCTTCTCTCCAGAACAAAAGGAGTCAGTGGGCATCTGTCTATGTAACAAGACAAACTTCAGAGCAGCTCAAGTCCCCATATCATTTACTTTCGGTAATTGTATATATTTGCTTTTCAAACCTTTCTTAGCAGAGGAGTCTTAAGAGGCTGAATGGCAATGTGAAGAAGTTAGTAGAGAGGGAAGGGGAGATGACAGCAGGCAAAAAAAAATGAAGGCTCTTACTGCATCCATTCACTTCAGCATAACACTGCCCGCTTCGGCAAAAGGTTTGTGAGACCCTTCACAGTAATTCAGGAGTTTTTCATCAGATTTACTTTTCAACTAAAAGGCTCATGAAACAAGTTCAAAGAACTGACTCTCAGTTCTATCTCTGAGTAGAACTGAAAGCAGCTTTTTAACCTTGTGTTTTGCACAGTCTCGTCTGCCCAGCACATAGTGCTGGTCAAGAACATTTTCCTTGCTGAATGCCAAACAGATGCTATGAAACACATTTGGTGGAACATACATAAACACATACCTTAGTGTTTTCTCGTAATAATAGCACAAAAAAGCCCCCAAGCCTGGAGTTGATGTGGGAATGCAAAATGAAATCCTGGTCCGTAGCTGGTCTTCATGCCACATGTCTTAAAAACCTGCAGTGACCCAGGAATCTTCGAAGACGTGCTATCAGACACTCAGGTTACAAATTAGTAAACTAAATATGGGGACTCTCCTCTAGCAGAGGAAGCAGCCACATTATTAAACTTTTATCCCCCAAAACAGGGTCCACATTCTGCCTGTTAGGAATGGTACCTACCATGTGCTAACTCACAAACTGTGTCTTTGAGATATCTGCTGAGACTGTGCTAGTTGGTCTGGGCTAAAACTGTCCCAGGGATTGTTCTAATAATTTGCACATCTAGGCAATTGAGTTATAGTGCCCAGAAACATTCTGGTGTTGTTTAATTTACTAGCATAGATGTAGCCCCAGTTTCTCTTTGCCTCTGGCTATGGATCCAGAAATACTCTCAAGTTCCCAGATTCAGATCCATGGCTTCACTGATGGGAGACTCAGGCATGCAAAAAAGCCCTCCTCAAGGCCTTGATTTCTGTGTAAAGAAAATGGATAAAATACAGACCAGGTAGCAGAGGTCAGGCTTTATGAAGTATACTCTAGCTATCATTACAGCTCTGGGCATGGAGTGCAGGGCCCCAAAAGCATCTCTTTGCAAACTGGAAGGCTTTCAGCAAGTTGCCTATACTGAAGAACCAGCTTATGCTCAGGTTAAGGTTCTTTCATGGGGCCATAAAGGTGTTTTAGAGATTCAAGTCATAGATTGTCTAGGTAAAAAGGTATTCAAATCTGAGCTGTAAACTGTCTGACACTGACAAATAAATATATATTTGGGAGCACAAGAGGAGATGTCCTGAAAGAAAAAAATGATAACATCAGCCTTCAATCAAAGTAACAGATAAATTACGTTTGCTGTGGTTTGACAGAAACACATTCAGGTGATGATCTTTGGTCTAGGAAAAACCACCAGCTAACTGGTGAGAAGCCACGAGAAACAGCTTTTTGTAATATTTGTATTTATTCTCTTTGTCTGGGTCAGAGCCAGTTCCCTTAAAATCCATAGTGGTCTCATTTCGGACTTTCATAGGGGCTGGACTGGAAACTGTGGCTCTAATTTTGCCACTTGCAAAGCACACTGATGACTCTACCTATTTATCCATCCTAACAACTGCCAGTGTACATGGTTTCTTCTGTTTCTCCTAGCCTGCAGCAGCTGTCTGCATCACCTGTGAAATACTGCTGTTCATTTCTTATCAACAGCAAAGCACTGTGAAGGTTCTGCGAATCCATAGGCCCTTGGTCAGAGCTCTGACAACGGACGCTGTGACCAGGCCTGATCTTCTGCCTCCCCAAACCAGTTGGGCATGGATGTTCTTGCACTACAACTAGTAATTTGTTTGATGATTGCCATGGCCAAAGGACAGGCAGCACAAGAACAAGAAGTTGACTGTTGAGACTCAGGGATCTTATAAGGCCATGCTTGAGTTTCACACTCAGTCCCATTTTTCATCTGTCAAGGAATGATGATTTGTTAGGAATGATGTTCCAACTGAATGATGTTTTTCTTTCATTTTCAAAAGCTGAAAATGACCTGGAATTAAGTCACATCTGCACCTTACAAAGAAGGTGTAAACAGCACAAGAACAGGGTAAACAAAGTGATCAAAAATACATTTAAAATATACAGATAGAGCTGGCAATTTCACAGGATTTTTTTTATAGTAAGTAGCTCTAGGGGAAAGCAGCCAAATATTCCAGAGTCCCTCAGTTTTCAGGTAAACTTTCAGTTTCTGAGTATTCCAACAGTTACTGGTTTGGGCTCCAAATAACCTCAAAGCATCTCATTTTAAAAACTTAAAACCATCCCAATAATTATATTCCTAGTGAGTAAAATGTTTAAGCTTGTGCTCAAACCCCACCAATTTAATAAAATGTAAACATGCACATGCTTGGCTGGGATGTGCTAGGATCACCTTCAAGCATCATTCAAGTACTGCTACTGGGCTGAATTAAGTCAGAAAAACGGTTGTCAGGATTTCTGTAAAGGCATCTTAACCCTGTTAGTCTCAATAGGAGCTGAGCTGTTCATTTCCACAGGGACAGTATCTCCCTTACAGGGAATGTGATTCTTCCTCGTGCTGCTTCGGAGTGAACAACTCCACCAGCAACACCCATGTAAAATGATACAACACAGGGAAAGACTGAGTGCCAGGTTTCCATTCCTGACCTCTAACATAATGTTGACATAAAGTACTGGTCAAGGTCCCAGCACCTTCCTGCATCTGTTCATTATCTATAAAATGTCTGTTAAACCAAGTACAGTATTACTTGCCTATTTCCCAGGGAAGCAGTAACCATGATTTGATTAACAAGTGCAGAAGCACTTTGAGCTTCTTAGATAAAATACACTGCACAAATATTGTCCAGGCCAATATTTTAACTTTATAAACTAGGTGGAAAGTGGAAAGAACAAAGAGGAATGGATTAATTGCTACATTCATTCAATATAATTCATAAATGGATAAATGCTTGTAGCTATTTGACTTGGCAAAATTTACAGAACTCTACATCAGCAAACCTAACAGACTGACAAGAGGCCGGAGCAAATCCCTGCAACAAAGACGTAAGTAGTAGACAAGCTTTACATTCTTATTCAGGCTGCTTTTATCCCAGAGCTGCAGATGTGTATACACACAATACTCCAACCTGCTCTTAAAAGTTCTAAACTTGCTGAAATTTATTCAAATTGCTACATGAATTAATTGCGTAGAAAAGAAATGCAGTCTTCTAGGTCAGACTGCATCTTGTAGTGCTATTAAGAAACAAGAACTTTCAAAGAAACAGGAAAAATCTGCTATTTGAGTTGCATTCAGTCAACTGGATGAGTTGACTGTGAAGTATAATCAACAGTCACCATTTTCTATAAGACGGTAAATTATTTTATCTTCTTTTTTCTTAATGTAAAGGTTAACAACAGAGTATCCGGAACACTATGGAGAAGATATGGACATGATGATGTACACTTATGACCATTACATCCGTGGGGCAACCACAACTTTCTCTGCTGTGGACAGGTTCGCTTTTCATTTGTTTCACTAGAAACAAACAAAACAAAACAAACAAACAAAAAAAAACCAAAAAAAAAAAAGAAGAAGGTTTTCCTTTTCTATTTCTCCCAAACAGTGCATGGCTACAAATCATCTACTGTGGTACTCAGCATCAGGCTGAGGAAAAGGGCATCTTCATGAACAAGGGGATCATCTGCCATGTCCACCTGAGTAGTGAAAAATATAGCAATGGTAGGCTTGGCTAAATCTGAACTCCACGAAGCTTAACAGATCTTCAGTATTGTTTCTCACCTACCTCTAGTCAGAGCATCTTTTATCTAACCCAGTAAAAACTCAGCCTGGAACACCCTGTCCTTTCAGGGGGTGAGGGACTTATTTTGGCCCACTTTTCTTCACAGAGAAGTGGGGAATCTGCCAGAGTGCAAAGATAAGACCATACAAACTTCAATCTGAATGCTGTAAACTGCCCAATCCATTGCAACACAATTCTAAAAGATTTGAGGCCACACCAGGAATTAAGGCAATGCAGTGCATATTGATCCCTTTCCAGAAAATGAGTTCCCTACTTATTCTTGATCAGTCCTGGTCATTACTTGACCAGGCCCTATGAGGCGCTCTGGCTAGTGAAGTTGTAGTTGGATCTTGATTCTTTCCTCTTGAGCTGACCTCTAATACATCAACTATGAGTTATTTCTTTGCTGATGTTTTTTATCAGACACTTCGCCCAGTATATTAAAGCATTTGTTATCAAACACAGCACAGACAGCAAGGCAAGGTGCACTGCACTGGCCTATCGTTGCCAAGACTGGCTACAGGAGAAGTGGGAGAGAAGAGAGGAGGAGGAGTTCAAACACACCAACATTTCAAGCTGTCTCTAATAACACTTAAAGGAGCCGAGGTGCTTTTGCCACTATGATGCTCTCAGATTGCCAGACTTCATTAGGGACCCCCTCAGCCAAAAGATTACCTAAAATAAAAAGACGTTTCCAGAAATAATAGCACACTGTCAGAGAGCTGCAGGTCCATAACTGCAATTTTCTGGCTAAAATTCATTAGCCTGTTCATTAACAAATGGAAGGCATGTCTGCAAATTATTCCTACAAGCAGAAATGTAACTTTCACAGTCATTTGACTCAAAGGTATCTATTTATCGCTTTGGATAAAGAATTTACAAGGTTGCAAGGGACATCCCTGTTCTTGGGTTTTTTTTTCTTAAATATTCCCCAGTGCTATTCTTAATCCTTGGTTCTCATGGCCATGGCAGAGACTAGGGGAGATAATGCAGACAGTGCGCTCCCTTGCAGCTGGATTCCAGCCTCCATCAGACGTGGACCAGGGTAAAGTCAGGAATCACAAGGACAAGCCTGGAAAACAGAGCAGTTGAGGTAACCGATGCCTCTGAGCAGATTTCTCTCTGTGAGTGCTGAAGGCTTAACACAGCCTTCAGAACGGGGTGGCAGTGGGGGGACTGGCCAGGAGTGGAGGCAGCATCACAGGGATGTACATTGGGAGTACAGGTCTTCACAGGTTATAGGACCACAGTACCTGGAAAGGAAAGAAGCCACCAACACCTTTGTCCTACCACTGCTGTGACACCACAGGTGAACCTGCAATAGTAGCAGGTGAAAACCATAGAGAAAACATTTTATGTATTGCAATCTAGGAGACTTTTCTGTGCAATGAACTTTCTGGCCCCCAACTTCCAGAATGACTAAAACCAACTTCGTTTTGTAAGAAGCGAAAAAAATTCCTGCTACGCCAGTTCGTCATTCAGATTCACGCAGTAACTCTCCTGAGTGGTATACTTGCAAAAGTCGGCAAAGTTTGTCATCCTAAATGGTTCTTTGCAGCTGGCTGAGGCAGCAAAGGAGCAAAAAAAGCTATTCCCAGTCCCAGCCTACCAGCAGCACGCACACATGCAGCTTGCCTGTGTAAACATGCTGTAGATTTTGAGACTGCTTTTCATTTTCAAGCATGTTAAACTTGTGTCCATACTATTTAGCCCATGACAGGCAATGTTCTTGAGCTAACGAGAGGCACAAAAAAAGCCTTTGAAGGTATTTTAGTTTAAGTTTTCCTAATCACTTCAAACAGTTAAGTATTTTTAGACTTTTTGAATAAACTTGCAGAAATCACATCCTCCCTTCCTATTCCCTAAGACATTGCGTCACTGGGGTCACTGCTGATGCACAGATATTTGAGAGAGCACGTGATGCCTCTGGCAAAAGCTGTAGAAAGTTTAGAAAGGTGGTATCCCCACGTCTTCTTCTGTAATCACTCCCTCTGAGTTTCCATGCCTGTGTATCAGGAATGAATGAAGGAGTTGCTGTTCATCATCGGAGGTTTTAAGTGCTCATCTGTGGAGAACAGATTTTAGAAGTGGTTAATATTTACATTTTTCAGTCCCATTTTAAATGGGTCAAAAGTAGAAAACAAGTGTCTATAAAGCAAGACAAAAGCAGCTGGAAAGAATTAGAAGAGGTTTGAAGTATCTCTGGAAGCACATTTGGGAGCGTGGTGGTAACGCTGATGCAGACAGGATGACCTATGGACATACATTAGGGAACACTTGCAAGGAAAGGCAGTATCTTTTGTTAGACAGACTGATACAGTCAAGTTTCAGAGATGGACATGGGGTATCTGAAGCAGGTTGTAAAAAACTGAAACTGCCCACATAGGCATGCACATTGTAAACCCTTGGCAAAATAGCTTCCAAAATTAAAAAAAAAAAATAAATTCAAAATAGCTTCAAAATAGCTTCAGTTTGAGCTCTGAAACATGTTAAGTGATGATGGCATGGTTCCCTCGTGGAGCCTTGTTACGGGGCTGTGGTCTGGTTGGATCGGTCTCTCAAGTCCAGAGAGCACCACTGGAGCATTCACAGCCCAACCTGCAGCCAGTAGCTTGGACAGGGAAGTGGGGATTACCAAGATGTGCTTGGTAGGTGCCACAGCTTGCCTTCGCTGTGTAGTATAAAAATAGCACATGCAGACTGTCATAAGCTCATTTCTTTTACAAAACTGTTCTCTGCTCCATTTATTTGGGTGATCTGAATAGCCGGTAATTTCTTAACTGCTCAGACATCATCACTGAAAGATAGATCAACACCCAAATACCCCAGCAGTAAGTACATTTGAAATGCCTGGACAAGCTGGATATCTACCGAGCTCCGCTGAGCTGAATTATAGGGTATTTTAGGTCCCTAATAAGTTTCATATGACCAAAGAAAGAGGATTTTTTCAATCTCAATATAAATAGGAATTCACAGAATTTTTAAACTGAATTGGAAACAGATTATTCAGCAATACTTGGAGATAAAAGGTATTTTCCCTATAGCATCAAAAATTCAAATCTGACAGCACATGACAGCTGGAGAGTAAAAGTGACAATTCAATATTGACTCCTCAAGCCAAGGAAAATGTATGAAATTAGCAATTTGGGGGGGACCTATAAACTGGTGTTAAGGATCTGCAAAGGCAAGTTCATATATATTCTAGAGTATTCCACACAGGGCAATTCCTGACGAGATCTGCACCCCCACTGGAAAACTCGTAAAGGGTCTACAAATTGAAACAGGCTGATAAATATTGAATTAAATACACAGCACCAATGGTACAAAGTAGTTGCCTGCATCCTGAAAAGATGGACTTATATGCTTAACTTCAAAGACAAGTAATACAAAAAAAGATAAATTAAGACACTAAATGCATAAACCTATTGGCCATCAGCCACGTGCATATATGCTAAAGTGTCTGCAAGTTCAAGTTTAAACTACAACTTCAGAAATAATTCCATTCTAATATTTTAAAGCATGTTATTAATTCAGGTAACTAAAATACATTTATTTTAAAGAACTTGACTTTTAACTTTACAATATCCCTTTTTAGAAAAATTACTTGACCTCAGCTTTTGAGCTAAAAGTCTCTCCGACAATGGGTGCTAGTTTAGCAGACCTTAATTTTGACCCATATAATCCTGTTAATCCACATATGAGTCATCTTTTTTTTTTTGTCTCTCTGGGTAGGTCAGTGACCAAAAGAGTAATAACTGTCTTTGAAGAGCATGCACATAGTCCAAACGAGAACTTCCTAAAATAAATCTAAAAATTAATCTTGCATTTCATTAACCTTTGGTAACAGTTTTATGAGGCAATTACAATTAAAAACCATTTAGGAAAGGCCTAAAGAAAATAAAAAATGAACACTGCATAACTAAACACAGACTTGCTGATGAGTATGAGACAGACCCAGTTCCAAACAACACTCAGCATAAACTGGTGAAGTAGCATAGCAGATTTCCAATTAAAAAACCTCAGTTAATGAAAGCTGAAATAAGATGCCTTATACCTACACAGAGCTTAAGAGTCAAATTAATCTTATTCCAGGATAGAGACACCCAGTCAATGAAACCATATAAGAGCAGTTAATACCAAAATCTGGGCTCAGGTGTCTCAGCACATCCCTAAGAGGCTGCAGGTTCTGCACCAGTTTCCTCACTGTTTGGAGCTGGCCACCAAAAAACCAGACTGTGCAGGGGTCTTGTAAAGCAATCTGCTAATGAACCATTCCAGTAGCATTACTTGTCCTATGCCTCAGGTTTAGGAGATAACTATTACCAGAATCCAAACTTTCTGAAACCTCTCGGAGTACTACCCATTACCAATTTAAATGATGGCTGCCATCCGCAAGAACTGTACTTTAGATCTAAACTCCCACTAGCCAGTACTAAGCAGCCTAAATTGAACATTTGCCCCACAGCAGGACAGTATTTGATCCTCTGAACTCATGCCTTTCTGTCGAGGGAAAATTTAAGGCACAATAAGCTAAGGTGGAAATTTGCAGCCTGTTGCAGCTATTGGACACTAAATCACTGGCCTCCACTGTTGAATCCTGCTGCTCCAGCCATGCTTCCTACTAAAACTTGTCAGTAGGTATCATATCACTCTCCCGAGAGAGAATACAGACATCCAATTACTCATAAACCAGGAAGAGCATAAACTCTCCATACACTCATAAATGTTACTCTGCCTCACATGTGACTTGTGGAGATCAAGGATGAGAAGTGAATTTAATTTTTCTCACTACTGATTCCTTCACATCTTTCATAAAGGACACTAGCTAGAAAACCTAGTAGTGGAAAGAAAAAAAAAAAAAGAGTGAATTTTGCTGTGTGGCTAATTCCCCACTTAGAAATAGCTTGAAAATCACCCACATATTTTACTTTGCACACATTCCTGAGCAATATATCACATGACAATAACTTTTGACAGAACCATCCTTTTCCTCTTGGTCACTGATTTAAAGTCAATTTAGGGTTGATCACCATCAAGAGTCATTGTCTTCTGAAGGATTCTCAGAGACCTAATTATTCAGAGAGCTGATTTTCTTACCTTGTAAGGGAGTGTGAAGGAATTATAACTATCAGATACATTTTATCTCCTTCCAGCCCATAAAAACACAAAGCACTCAGAGGAAAGTCAGCTAATGGCAGACAAATGTTTTTGTTGCCACAATAGAATCATAGAATCATAGAACGGTTTGGGTTGGAAGGGACCTTAAAGATCATCTAGTTCCACCCTCCCTGCCATGGTCAGGGACACCTTCCACTAGACCAGGTTGCTCAAAGCCCCATCCAACCTGGCCTTGAACACTTCCAGGGCTGGGGCATCCACAACTTCTCTGGGCAACCTGTGCCAGTGCCTCACCACCCTCATTGTAAAAAATTGCTTCCTTACCTCTAATCTAAATCTACCCTTTTTCAGTTTAAAGCCATTACCCCTTGTCCTATCACTACATGCCCTTGTAAAAAGTCCCTCTCCAGCTTTCTTGTAGGCCCCCTTCAGGTACTGAAGGCTGCAATAAGGTCTCCCCAGAGCCTTCTCTTCTCCAGGCTGAACAACCCCAACTCTCTCAGCATGTCTTCATAGGAGAGGTGCTCCAGCCCTCTGAGCATCTTCGTGGCCCTCCTCTGGACTCATTCCAGCAGGTCCATGTTCTTCTTATGTTGGGGGCCCTAGAGCTGAACACAATACTCCAGGTGGGGTCTCACAAGAGCAGAGTAGAGGGGGAGTAAAGTTATTCTTGTATAGTATTATCCTCTGTAGTTCTGGCTCACTAATATTTCTCTCTTGTCTGTCTTCCATGCAGGGATCGTCAGTGGAAATTCATTGTCTGCAGGATGACAGAGTATGACTGTCCATTTCAAAATGTTTAAAAAGATCGAGTGTACCCAACTTGGAAAGCTTAGGGACAGACAGGGTGGGGATGAGGGTCAGTGATTATGGGAGAAGGGCAATTAAGCTCACAAAAAAAGTACTAAGACTCATCAGCTGCCTGCTGAAGATACAATTCTTTCCCTCTGGAGCTATTAAATAAATTGCCAGCCCACGTGCTTGCAACACAATTTTGGAGGATTCCTTCAAGCTGCACTGGCCATTGTATCCCCCAACTAAAATTGCTTATGACATACACGTTTATGATACCCAAGTCTATGGCATATGCAGTTACCTTTTTTATATATACATATAGCCATTCTGAATACAACTTACTTTCACATAGCAACTTTGTATAAATTGCTTCCCAGCACAGTCACTCTGAATGAGGTAGAAACATACTATAAGCTTTCCAACATCTACTAGACTTTCCTGTCTCTACGTTGTACTTGGAATCAACCCAGTGATCCCTACCAGCTTCTTTGCGTTTAGTAGCTGAAAGTGTGCTGAAAGTGGCATCGGGAGGTCTCTGACATACTGCATCTGGCGTTACCTGTTACAGCCCTCAGCGTAACTCCACTGCAACAAAGGTCTGCCTGCACAGGGGAATTCCAGGTATTTACAACACTGGAAGATGTCAATACCTGATTAAAATGAGAGTAGACCCATCAATAAAAACAGAAGCCTAACCCAGATTTTCTGAGAGTCTCTTTTATACTGTCTTAAAAGTCTCTAATGACAAAACTAGCCAGGAGCTCTACCTGGGCAAACCCAAGAGTAGGTCAGGCCACTCGCACTCTCAGTCAATATGTATACTGCACTTGTCAGGAGTCTACTTTTCAGGTGGGTTGTGTTTCCACTATGTGTTTCCCTGTACAACATCCATCTGCCCTTGGTAATATATTCTTGGCTTAGAACAGGCAAATAAAGCTAATGACTTAGGTGACGTCAGTTCCTCCAACTTGCAGATCTCACTCCCTGTAAAGGATAAGCTGACCATGTTTCAAGACTGCACAGCACTTGTGCAGCTATAATTCAAGAAGACTGACTATTGATCTCTTCCAGGAAGATCTGAGGTAGGATTTTTGCTCTTGAACAAACCAGAATTTAGGGCTCAGTTTCTTAGCTGATAAAGTCAATGGTAAACTTAGCAGTGGCTTCGGCAGTGCTGGCTCAAGGGCCATGATGACCCCATGTACCAATTTAAGGTTGTAAAGCTTCATAGGAAACAGTGATGTTAGCCAGTCAGTTTCCACGTTCCAAGCATTATTAACACATTACTAGCATACCTTCAAGTGTGAGCATTAAAACTACACTTGTCCAATAAAAGAACAATAGGTTTTGCATTGCTGTAGCCTTGCTCTTTCTTGATTTTACTTACACTAGCTTATTGATTTGCACACAAAGAAACCCTCTGTCATTCTCAGAGACCATGATGGTGATTAGGGAGTTTCTGTGAGGGCCAGTTGCTGAGACATGTAAGTAACAGTGGGAAAGAGAAATCAAGAGGCCGAGGGAAGCTGGAGAAGCTTGTTAGCTGACACTGGTAGACAGGCAAAGGAAGCCAAGAGAGGTCCAGACAGGAGAGCACCAGAGGAGAAGGCACTCACACCAGGGAATTGATGGAAAAGACCAGGCATTATAATTAGTCATAGAAGGATTATCTCTGGAAACACCTGCTCTAGATGGACACCCATCTCCCACACAACTTTATCTTGACTACTTAGGCTGCTCTCAATTCTGTGTGCATACCATGGGCTCATGGAGGCCTCTGAGGGGACAGTGCAAGATCAGCTTAAGCTGATTTAGATCCGCAGCGTCACGGAAAGGAGTAGTTCTGGTCTCTTGTCCACTGGAGCTGCAGTGTCATATTGTCCCATATGATACCTTTCTCCCTCATCTCGGTCCCAGTCACTTCCTTCCACCCATGCTCTATTCCCAGCTCCACCCTAGCAGTGCATCGGTGTAGGATACATTTCACAGGACTCCTCTTCAGAAAGTTAAGTAATTCTCAGATGAGGAAAGGCGTGGGTGAGAAACAGAATGTATCTTGGGGGAAGGCAGAAATGGCATGTGGACCAAAAAAAAACCAAAAAGCAGAACTGAGGCAGAGAAAGAGTGGTTCCTGTGAAGTCCTAGGACAGCTAATTAGCAAAGAAAGGAACTGAACTTAGTTTTTATCTAAGTTTTTATCTAAGTTGCAGCATGCACTTCTAATGTTTAGGTAATCTTTGCATGTGGGAAGACATTGCTCCAAAGCTGATAAGGTTCCAGCCCAAATTCCTCAGCACAGAGCAAGGCGATGACGAGCCTGCCTTGCAAAAGTTCGCCGGCTTCAAAACCTGATTAAGCCTGCTTTGACTTTCCTAAAGCCCTTCTGGACAAGAGAGCCTTTCAACTTGCTTAGGACACCTTACCAAACCTGAACCACCTTTCACTCATGCTAACACAAACCAGATCCCATTGCAGGGAAACGAACAGAGTTGTGCCTATTCAGACCAAGTGCAACTAAGCGCAGATGCCCAGTACGGGGAGCCCACAGCACTTCTTTATTCTCACGTGTTCCATGGCACAGAAGCACCGCACCTACACTTGTACTATATGGCGTAAAAGTCACCTCCGATCTGAGAGCCAAGACAGAGCCTATGCATTACTGAAGTCCCATATAGGCCTAACATTTTAAATAAACCCTTATTTTTTAATAAATAAAGCATCAGGAAATAAAGTCTTATTTGTTTAATAAATAAGAACAGTATGGATGGAATTCAAACATCTGAGAGAAAAGCACTCTTTCGTAAATGCTGAGCATTGCCCCAGTCATGCTACATGGGCTGCAGATGCCACACTGTCAGCGTTGTCAGTGATTTTTTTAGATAAACTAGGGCAGAATAATCTTTGCATTCACAAAGGGAAATGCAGCAAACTTCAAAGAACCTTTTGAGCTTTTCTAACTCTAAACAAAAAAAGTGAAGAAGAAAAAGTGGGGTGAACTGTCTGGGGAAAAGAAATACCAACACTGACTCCCTTTGTGGGTCGTCTTTAGCCTGAAACACAATGAAGGCTGGTGCTAAGCCAAACCCACATCCTCCATTTGATCCACTCCTCTTGAAGAGAGGTTTGAGTAAGAGAACAGCATAAGTAACTGGGGAAAACACAGACAGTTTTATCAACCCCAGTCAAAGAGGAGGACTCGACTGTTCTTCCTCCCAAATCTCAAGATTAACTTAAAAGCCATGTGACTTTTGTAGAAAAGAGAGAGCTCTATTTTTTTCATATATTCTGATTTCTCAGTTTGCAGAGTATATAAGCACTCCCAACGTTTTCGACATTTTTCACTTTCAGTATTTTTCAAGTCTTCAAACAGTATTTTTCAATTACTTCTCAACAATGCTGAGACTAGAAATGTGTTTTTTAAGTGAAGGCTAAGATTCTTGTTTAATCACTTGACAATGAGAGGGAGTTTTACAGGACATCAAATACTACGAGACTAATGATAAATATATCAGACATAGCAACAGAGCACTGATTAAAAAAATAAATAGCAAAGCCATAGTTGTGTAGAAATAAGGCATATTTCCTGTAAAATCACGAAAGACCCTTCAACCTCTTCCAGTTCAGTGTTCAGGATTTTGTAATATGAGGTAAACCTGGCAGAGAGTCATGGCATCACCTAAGCAGAGAGATGCCAACACAGCTGAAGGGAAACCAGTCTGTGGACGAAGCAAAAGACCTGGCAGAAGACCAGTTGGCTCTTAGGAAAACTTACTTAGACTTGACTCTTGACTCGCAGCCATTGAATCCTTTTCTGGTTTTAAACTTTATTTCAAGCCCATGTTCATTGAACCAGCAATATGTTACTGTACTGGGCTGCATCTTTAAGACTACAGTACTGTTTGCAAACAGAGAGTATGAACATCACTGGTAGTGGCACTTTGTGCCAGAGTTGTTGGCGTGAACCGTAGGCAGGAGGAGTTCTGCTAATAACACATTATCAAACATAAAACATTGCTTGTGCCTAGATTTACTTTTCAAGACAGAGTAGTTACACAGGGGACTGCTACCTTATTCCTCAGTATTTCAGGGTACTGGTATGTGTGTAGCTGATGCTCTGCATAGTAATCTGGACCTATGCATCAAGAAGTTTAGAAAAGGCAGCAAGGCTGCGCACATGCTGAAAATAAAAGACATGCACAAGTGCCTGTGGGTCAGAGCCAGCAGGAGCTTTCTGAGCTCCATACCTGAACAGCATTGATTTCAGTCTCATCCAGCTTGTGAACTTTGGCCAAAATCAATGGAGTTCAGTTCTTAAGCAAGAGTCAGGCATCTAACTACTTTTTAAAATCTTAGCTTAGCTGGCGCATCTCTACAAGGAAGACTGGAAAAACTGGACCTCAGGTTAGAGGGAATCAATCGAAGAGTGTGCCAAGATACACAGGGACGGACAAGGCACTGCATATTCTGTTCGTACTTTCTCAGACATAAAAGCCTTGAATTGGTCAGGCAGTTAGACTACATGATCATTGTAGGTCCCTTCCAACTGAAATAATCTATTCTATTCTCTCCTACTTGAAAAATCTAACTGACTTAACCTCATGAAGACCAGGACACACTCTACCTTAGGTTATCTTTAAATCATTTAAGAAGAACAACGAGAAGTTTTGCTGAGCTTAGCATTAAAGCCATGTCAATCCCACTACATTAAAAAAAGGCACAGCTACATTTTTGCTGGATGTGAGCTTTAGTTTACATGCAGGGTCAAATTCTCCAGGCCTTGCCTGAACCAGACAAGTCACCACACTGCAGAACCTGGTCCTAAAAAGATCAGCCCAAATTGTGGAGAACACAGAAGAAGACACAGGTGCAAAAGAGATGGTTCTATCTAAGAGAAAACTGACGGGAATGACAAGAACTGAAGCGAAAACAGGGA